GAAACCCTCAATCACCTCGTGTTTTTGTTTAAACCCTGCCTCTTACCTTCCTCCCGCTGCCTCTCTTGACATCCCTTCTAGCATCCACGTGCTCACCATCATGTCCACCCATGAAATGCCTCCCCCGCTGCCCCCCTAGACATCCCTTCTAGCATCCACGTGCTCACCATCATGTCCACCCATGAAATGCGTCCCCCGCTGCCCCCCTAGACATCCCTTCTAGCATCCACGTGCTCACCATCATGTCCACCCATGAAATGCCTCCCCCGCTGCCCCCCTAGACATCCCTTCTAGCATCTACGTGCTCACCATCATGTCCACCCATGAAATGCCTCCCCCGCTGCCCCCCTAGACATCCCTTCTAGCATCCACGTGCTCACCATCATGTCCACCCATGAAATGCCTCCCCCGCTGCCCCCCTTGACATCCCGTTGAGCACTGCGTCATGCTCGCGTTCTTGTCCACCCATCGCGCCTTCCACTAGCTGCCACCCTTCACATTCCGTCTTGCCCCACATGCTCCCCCACTTATCCACCCATGCCCCGCCCCCGGCCCCCGTGGGACTATCCGTCAATCTGACCCCCAATGCTCCCCTACTTGTCCACCATATACCTTCGGCTGCTAAACACGTCGCCCCCTCGTTTCCCCCCAACCCTAAACCCATATGTCCATCCCCGACACTTCCCATTCCCTCCTGCCCTTTGTCTTTCCTTTGCTGCCCCTTTATCTACACTTGTCCACCTATGCTCCCTCCTCTTGCTGCATCCTTTGACCTCTGGAACTGCCCCACTATACTAACCGACTGGTCCCTTATCTTTGCTCCATATCACTGCTGCCCCCGTTGTACCCAAGTGCTGCCCCTCTCCTGCTGCCCCCCATGTACACCATGCACCCATCACCCTCCTACCCAGGCTTGCACGCTTGGGCGTCGGGTGCTGACTAAGACACACAAGAAGATGATCGTGGGGCAGATCACGGATGATGTGTTCAGGAGCTATGTCCTTGTTTACGGAGATGTAGCAATGGGCTACTTGAAGAAGCGGCTGGCCAGGGAGGGAATTCACGACCAAGTGCTCAATGTGAGAATCAATGTGGTGCTCAATGCTGTGCAAACTGCCACTGCCACGTAGACCTGTTAAACGCGTAGCATCACCCTCCTTAATGGGCCGAACCGAGGCATGGCACCCTGTTGTATCCACGCACCCGTCAGCACCCCATTGTCTCAACCCTAACACAAACTTCCATTGTTGTGTTGCGACCCCCGCTTGCCTATTCGCAGGTGCACACTGCCATGGCAATCCCACCGCACGACAGGATGGAGTGGGCCGAGAAGGGGCAGTTTGTCAAAGCAAGCCCTTCCGAAAGGCACTTTTCAGATGTGGCCATAAATCCAGCTGGCAAGGGGGCCAACTGGTACGGCCGATGCTTGATGCTGTTCCATTACGTGAAAGACGGCGTGGCAAAAAAAGCCGCCTACATCGAGTACTACACGGAGGATCGGCGAGTCTGCCGGTACACTGGCTGCAAACGACTGTTGCCCACGAAGGGCACCTTCAACTATGCAGTTGTAGATGCAGATTGCATTCTTAGCATCGTGCATGTTGTCCCGTGCTGCAAAGACCTTGCTGTGAAGCTGCTTAATAGGTTCATCTGGTGATGCATATTAAGTAGCAACTAAGTCAATATACCATAACCTTCTTTGATTGTGAAACACGCTTTTAATCCACCTTATTATCGTCTCAACAATTAACATCTTACAAACATTCCATTGTAACATCGCAAAACCATTACTAAAACATCAACAAAACGTTTGGTCTGACAAGAATGCTATACAAACAATTCGTAGATGATTCCTGGGTGATTGTCAAACGATTTTCGGAAACTTGCTTTTAAAAAAAAATGGTCAGATGATTTCCAGACGCACACATTTTTGTGATGAACTCTCTTCTCATGTCAGCATTCTTAAGTTCAGCCAAATCCCTCTTCACTATAAAAAGTTCCTCTTTAACTGAAGTTAGCTCCCCCTTCACTGCGGTTAGCTCCCCCTTCGTTGCTGCCAACTCCCTCTCCCTCTCACCCACCACAGCAGCAGTCGCCACACTCCTCTCGCTCACGACAACCAGTGTACGCCTCAGCTCATTCATCTCATTCTCCAGAACCCGATTTCTCTCATTCAGTATCACCACGAGCTCCTTCTGTCGGGCCACCTCCTCCCTGACCACTGTCATCTCCCCCCTCAATGCTGCCAACTCCCCTCTCACTAATCCGAACAGTCCATTTACTGCCTCACTTATCACGCTTGCCTCCCTCTCGATAGCCATAACTGCCGGTTGGACTTAGCCGCCTCCCTGGAAGCCAACACATGGAGGTTAACAGGGACACGCACACAAGAAATAAACACTGTGCGACTGTAACGGAAGTAATTGAAGTAGGAAAGCAAGAAGACACGGACGCGTTATAATGCCACTTTGCAAAAACGTCAGTCACACGGCAATGCTTATGTTCAGTTTGCCCCACAACGCAAACGTCACATGCCAGTGAATTCTCGATTGACGCTCAGCGTGGCTAAATGTTTTACGGGGCAATGCCTAATAAGAGCATGGAAGCGTGATTTCATGACTGATTGACTGGTAACACGGCTTCCATTCAGCGCCCTACGCTCTTGTAACGTGGAATGAGAGGAGCAGAGGGTCGGGAGCATTCGAGGCTCGAGACACTGGCGAAGGGAAGAAAACAATGATTGAGATGGTTTTTGGTGTGCAAGCCGAAATGAATGCTATCACGGGACCAGCCTTACCTGTTCTAGGGTTTCGAAGAGTAAACTGTCGTGCTGAGACTAGCGCATGCACTTGGCTCTAAGCTCAGCAACAGGCGCCGGACACGCCAAACGATCTGAAACGCGCGATGTGAATCTTACTGGAGAGAATACTATGGGCTTGGAAACATAGAAGCGAGAACGCAGTTGTGAATTTCACTCTGAAGGAGGGGGGAAAAGACGAGAAAGGTAGCGTGACGAGAGGAGGGTTACTAGTAGCAGGATGGCTGGTAGCTGCTACACGGCGCGCTTGCGATAACTAGTAGTAGTAGTAGTAGTAGCGCTTCTGTGGCGACCACGATCCTGCGATGGCATGTGAGCGTCGCGTCCTGTCGTGTGTGCTTGACAGTATGAAAGCACGAGCAGCTTTTTATCCACAGAAATTCGGCTCTCGTAGTTTCCTTCTTTGAAGCTGGGTTACCATCCTCACCTGATTCGACGAAGAGTGTACAAAAGATGCTGAATGTGCAGCGCAAATGTCGTCACCTGAGCGAAAGTAAATGTCGAGTGTGTAACAGGTGACGGCAGGAGCAGTGCCATCGAGACTAGAGGCGACTCAATTCGTACTAATCAAGGCACTTTCTCGGACGAACTGAGAACGATTACGAACTATTTGCAGTGGTAACTGCTAAGAAACGCAATTGGCAACCGTGACAACTCGAGTCGAGATTTGAGTGCTGGGTGATGATCCCGTTTCGTTCCCACTCCAAGCATGTGTCAACAAGCTTCTCACAGCACTCTCGAAATCGTTAGCTTCGCCACCACGCAGCACGCACTGCAGAAATTTCTCGCGCCGCTGCTAAGTCGCTTCAAGAGCCGCGGAAACGCGCTGAAACCCTAATCAGAGGTAAGCCTCCCAATCTTTTCCCCCGTTGGCGGTCCGCATTGCGTGCGAGCCTGAGGCTCACAGCCTACGAATCATGGTGATCGTATTTTCTGATGATCAGAGCGGGCCAACTAAATGTTACATAGCGAATTCCTTGCTTGCACACCGCCAAAAAACTACGACCACCTTGATGCATGCTGACACCTTATAATATTCTTGCCTCTCGTAGCATTGTTAATTCCGTGCTGGTTCAGCCACTCCCGCTACCACTCACCCAGGCAATCAAAGCCTCTGACCGCACTCAGATTGTGACTAACCGCATTGTTAACCTGGGTCCTTTCCGCATCACAAAAATCCTGCATCCGGAAAACCGATGAAAAAAGTTGCTTTGGAGTTTTGTCGAATGATTCTTGAACGACGTTTTTCGAACGCTTTTTTGAGAAAGTATAGGTTGCTTTCCAAATGCTTTCTCGAACTCTTTTCAAATGCTTCTCCAATGCTTTTCTGTTCAAACCTGCCAGGTGAACATCTTCGGAAGAAGTTTGGTACAAGTTTCCGCAGAGCAATTTCGAAGATCGGATCTCATTGCAATGTACTCTTTATGGAATTTCGGGCTCATTAAAATAAGCTTATGTAGGAGACTTGCACGACCTTATATGTAATTTAAAACTATGTTAAGTTGCCTCAATCTTGCATTCAAAATGAACAGTACAGAAGCTTTGGTAAAAGCTGATAATTCCACCCTAAAAACGCACATAAAACAGCATCCTAAACCCTCTGTGCCTAGTCAGTTAGGTTGAGCTGCATCATCCTACGACCTGCTTAGCATGCTCCAGTACGCTATGTCTTCCACCGAACCCCATCTCTGGTGCTCTAGGTCGAGCGTGCCCCTGCGTCCACTGCTTCATTGCATGCTCTGCCCTCTCATGCGTCTGCTGCTCCGCCCCTGGCGCTCCCCAGTCATGCCTTTACTGCTGCTTGCTCCAGTCATGCCTAACCTGCTGCCCCCCTTGTGCACTCCCCTCTATCTGCTCGTGCCTTTTCTGCTGCCCCCCCAACTCTCTCAACTCATGCCTTTTCTGCTGCACCCTCTTGCACTATCTGGTTGCCTTGCTGGTTGCCCACCCTTGGACACTCCTCACATTGTCTCTACTGCTGCCCCCCTTGCTGACTCCACGCTTTTGCCGCCCGTGCTACCCCCCATGCTGACTCTACTTTCTTGCCTGGCGTGCTGCCCCCCTTGCTGTCTCCACCAATGCCTCTACCTCCGTTTTGATGTCTCCTCGCAAGTGTGTGATGCCTATCCTGCTGCCCCCCCCTTGTAAACTCCACTCATGCCTCATCTGCTGCCCCTCTTGTTTAGTCGCCCCATCGCTTCACCCTCTTGCCTCCCCGGCGTTTGCCACTCTTGTGTCTTTTGCCCCTCCTTCGCTCCTGGTCCCCCCCCTTCTCATCCTCATGCTCATCCTCTTCCTCCTCTTCCACTTCTTCCTCTTCTTCCTCTTCCCTCCTGCTTCCCTTGCCTCTGCCTCTTTTGTGCTTTCTGCCCTTCCTCCTCTCTTGCCCCCTATGATTTTCATCCTCCTGCTCCCCCTCCTCCTCCTCCCCACCCTCTTCCTCTTCCCCCCTGCCTCCCCTGAGTTTCCCTCTCTTCTGCCTTCTGCCCTTCCTAATCTCCCGCCCCCCCCGTTTCACATCCTCCTCCTCTTCCTCCTCCTCATCCTCTTGCTCATCCCTCTTGCCTCCCCTGCTTTTGCATCTCTTGTGCCTTTTGCTCTTCCTCCGTTCCTGCCCCCACTGTTCCTCCTCCTCCTCATCCTCCTCCTCCTCCTCCTCCTCCTCCTCCTCCTCCTCCTCCTCCTCCTCCTCCTCGTCCTCCTCCTGATCCTCGTCATCCTCCTCGTCATCCGTCTTCAAGTCATCCGCGTCGTACACCTCCTACTCTTCCTCCTTCAAGTCCTTCTTCTCCTCGTCAGGCGCGGCCGTCCCCTTGAACGCCTCAAATCCTGACTCGTGAACATACAGGCCACGGTCGCCCCACTTGAAGCCACCATGATCCTTCTCGTCGCCACCATCCGCATCCTGCGAGCCCGAGGGACCGCCCTTGGCCGCGGCAGCCCTAACGCCGTTGCGCATGCCGCCACCACGAGCTTCCGGCTCGGCATGATCCCCCTCGTCGCCTCCATCCGCATCTTGCGACGGCCTGCCCGACGGATCGGCCTTAGCCGCGGCAGCCCTGCCGCCATTGCGCATGCCGCCACCACGAGCTTCCGGCTCGGCATGATCCTTCTCGTCGCCACCATCCGCATCCTGCGACTGCCTGCCCGAGGGACCGCCCTTAGCCGCGGCAGCCTTGCCGCCGTTGCGCATGCCGCCACCACGAGCTTCCGGCTCGGCATGATCCCCCTCGTCGCCTCCATCCGCATCTTGCGACGGCCTGCCCGAGGGATCGGCCTTAGCCGCGGCAGCCCTGCCGCCATTGCGCATGCCGCCACCACGAGCTTCCGGCTCAGCATGATCCTTCTCGTCGCCACCATCCGCATCCTGCGACTGCCTGCCCGAGGGACGGCCCTTAGCCGCGGCAGCCCTGCCACCGTTGCGCATGCCGCCACCACGAGCTTCTGGCTCGGGATGATCCTTCTCGTCGCCACCATCCGCATCCTGCGAGCCCGAGGGACCGCCCTTGGTCGCGGCAGCCCTGCCGCCGGTGCGCTTTCCGCCACCACGAGCTTCCGGCTCGGCATGATCCGGCTCGGCATGATCCCCATCGTCGCCTCCATCCGCATCCTGCGCCGGCCTGCCCGAGGGATCAGCCTTAGCCGCGGCAGCCCTGCCGCCGTTGCGCTTTCCGCCACCACAGGTAGTGACCGGCTCAACATGATCCCCCTCGTCGCCCCCATCCGCATCCTGCAAGCCCGAGGGACCGCCTTTGGCCGCGGCAGCCCTGCCGCCGTTGCGCTTTCCGCCACCACGAGCTTCCGGCTCGGCATGATCCCCCTCGTCGCCTCCATCCGCATATTGCGCCGGCCTGCCCGAGGGATCGGCCTTAGCCGCGGCAGCCCTGCCGCCGTTGCGCTTTCCGCCACCACGGGTAGTGACCGGCTCGGCATGATCCCCCTCGTCGCCCCCATCCGCATCCTGCGACTGCCTGCCCAAGGGACCGCCCTTGGCCGCGGCAGCCCTGCCGCCGTTGCGCTTTCCGCCACCACGAGCGCGTTGGCCTGCCGTCCCATCTGCGAAGGCGGACATTACAGGTACATAAGAAATACTGTGCACACATTATCTTATTGGCTGGAAGTTGCAGCATGACATGCGGCGTCATTGTAATGAGTAACGTGCAAAATATAAACCGTCGATATCACACCCACAGCGTACCTAAGCTGTCAGGTCCCCCGTCTTTGCCCTCCTCGTCGCCTTCAGACGCAGGCGTTTCCTCACGATGTGAACGAGTGCCTCTTTTTCTTGGACGGTGCTTACGCCCCCCCCGGTTGTCACACTTGTCCGCTGACGCTGATGTGGAAACACAATTGGAGAGACGATAACCTCCAACAAGTCAGACACGACTACAAGCATCGTTTCATGCATACAAGTAGAATATTCCGCATCTGCGACCATAAACACGTACCTTTCTGGCCGCCTTTGGGAACGAGATCATCTAAGCGCTTCACGCGCTTATCCCTTGGTTTCGGAGGGGATGATATGCCCTTGTTTGCGTATGGCTCAACATCGCAGTCGCTATTCGATTCGTCACCGGATGACGAGACACGTCTGGAATCAACAACATCTCGCGCCGTCGACGCATTATTTTTGCGATACTCGTTTACGATCTCGGCCGTCTTATCTGCTGTTACTAACTCCGCAAAATTTGTTTCGTCGGGGGTTCTAGTCGAATCAGCCAGTACAATCGCCCCCTCGGGCCCCTTCATTATCTGACTTCCTTGTTACGATGTCTAGCTTTCCATTCACGCAGTACTATGAGGTTGCGGGTTGTGCTACCGCGAAGAACCAGACAACAGTCTACGAGCATAAAACATTGGTTGAGGAGGGAGAGGGAGGAGGCAAAGTCTGGGGCCTAGAGCAGACGATCGTCACACCTGGAGGCACGCAAGGGGAGCACGGAGGTGATGAGGGTTTGAGTGTTTCCTGCTATGGTGCACGTTGCGACTGCCAGGTCCCCCTTTTCCGCCAACAACCAATCGCCTGGTGGTTGAGGTGTATAAAGGAAAAAAATGCAGCACTGCCGTGTTAAGATTCCGTGGGACCTAACGTGCTTAATTGAGTATCAGTCCACAAGCGGCAGGGTGGGCTTCTTTTTGTTAAACCCAACAGTCAAATGCGCTACTGTATCTGGGTTTGCGAGGGTCATAATTATTTTGCCCGGGTTGTCGCACTGTTTACAATGAAGTGCCTCGCGTGCCACACAAACCTACACAAGCTGCACGTCAAGAGTCACATAGGGTCTGCGGAGAAACGGCGACGCTCGATCGCAGCAAGTCGTACAGCGATGCGACAGGTCGACACGAAGCCGTTGCGGCACGCCTGCGATAAAAACGCAGACTCAAAAGTTCCTTGTGTGTGGTTGCGACTGGTTTGCAAATCAGAGAGATTCGCGTACGTGGCATAGCGTGGATTCGAGTGGAATGGCGCAGGGCGGGGCACGTAATGGCACATTAGTTTGCAAAGCCTCAATAGTGTGGTGTACGTACATGATAAAAATAGAATTAGAGGGTTATGGAGTTGTAAGGAAAATCTCGTTTTCCTTACTTCGCATCCCTGCTCAAAGCGTACATCACTGTAGCACCTCAGTCAGCACCGTTACCACTCGCATCGACAATCCGCCCGCCACTTTTGCACGTCGCACCCCGACCTCACGGCTCGGCGGTAACCCGCGCTCTGGACCTTCGCCTCGACATTTTCCCAACCTCAGTCCCAGGCCCGTCGCGCGACAACCACAGTCCATTACCATTACCACTGTGGTTTCGCTATATAACCTTTCGCTCATACCTTCGCTCAGTTGTACCTTTTTCCCGATAGTGCAATCCTCGTTCGCTCACTCAATTGCACTTGTAACAGGAGTCCCCCTAACCCATTAGCATAGTGACAAGTATGCAACATAACAGTGTAAAACCAAACACCACCTTCACAGAACATGCACATAACGGTCTGTGGTGGAGCAGTCACTCTGATACATCGATTGATTAGTAAGTATGCATTATTTGATTGCTGCCTGGTCGTTATGCAACGCGTATGGGCATGTCTCCTCTCATGCCAATTGAGGTGCAATAATAATAGAGCCAGACACAAACTCCCCGTATGGGGCATGGCTGCTCTCATGCCATACAGGGCAACCTTTATGCAGGGACCCAAGAGCATGCTCTGTTGTATGTTCTAGGTTCATGCTGGAACGGAGTTGAGAAACCCCTGCTGTTCTACCCACTAGAGTTGTGGGGACATGCAGGTATGTTTTGCAGCATCACACTGACCCATTGTGTATTGTTTGTATACATGTCAAGCAGGAACGCCAGTGACAAACACTTCCCTACGGGTAGTGTTCTCTTGACATGGAGGACTGGTTCTGGCCAACACTCTCATTTGGCCACACTTGTTGTCAAGTCATGCAGGACTGATTCAAGGCCTCTCCATTGCGCTTTGTGTCATGTTTGTTGGCATATCAAGCTGGCAGGACGGATGAACAAACAATTCCCTATTGATCTTGTCCTCATTCCCCCATGCTACCCGCTTCCTTGTTCTTCACTCACACAGTTATTCCTCCCACGTACCCGCCTCACTCCCTCCTGCTTCCCGCCTCATTACCTCTGCTTCCCGCCTCGTGTCCCCTCGCTTCCGGCCTCATCCCCCCTTGCTACCCACCCCATTCCCCCTTGCTTCCCACCCCATTCTTCACTGCGACCCTCCTCATTCTCCCTTGATACCCTCCCCATTCCCCCTTGCTTCAGGCCTCATTCCCCCTTGCTTCGGGCCTCATACTCCCTTGCTACCTCCCTCATTCCCCCTTGCTTCAGAGCCGCGTCCCCCTTGCTTCCCGCCTCATTCTCCCTTGCGACCCCCCTCATTCCCTCTGCTTCCCGCCTCATGTCCCCTCGCTTCCGGCCTCATTCCCCCCTGCTACCCACCCCATTTCCCCTTGCTTCCCACCCCATTCTTCACTGCTACCCGCCTCATTCTCCCTTGCTTCAGGCCCCATTCCCCCTTGCTTTGGGCCTCATTCCCCCATGCTTCCCGCCTCATTCTCGCTTGCTACCCGCCCCATTACCAGCTTTTCACCGCCGCATGCCCCACCTCCAACCTCCAACATTGTTTTTGCCCGAAAATACACAGACCACTTCCTCAAATCGTGACGGTACTGACGGCGCCAATGGAGTGGCGTCCCTACAAGCTCACACGCCGGTAGTTTATGGAAACCATCCTCGACCAACGTGTGCATCACACGCATCGTGAACACACCACAGTCGTTCTCATTTGCCTGCATGGGTATCTGGACAATCACAGGGTGCGTGAGCGTGTGGTGAGGGCCGGGACGGGAGTGGGGTTTCGGTGTGGAAATTGCGTGCAGGGAAAGGGAGACGCGATTGTTTCAAAGCTCATACACACAAGGCAACAGCACTCGCCGTGACCTGCCTTAGTGGGATGCTCGCCGCCCATGCATCTGCGTCCGACTCAGTGATCCATGCATAGTATCTTATCACCTCGTTTCGTAAGTACTTGCACACCGGGAGACATAGATTCAATGCTATCGTAACCCCGAACTTCTGTACGTGACAATAGCAGACTGCCATTAAAAAGAGAGTACCTTCGCAACGCGGCGTCGACACCGGCATGCGTGCCGTACGAGTCAGCGTGCCAGAGCACGCAGTTCATGGGAATCGGGTCGTCGGGCCTCGGGATGCGCTCGATCACGATCAGGCTCCAGTGACTCCTAAGGCACACATGAGGTCTAACATCAGTAACGCCGACGTTAGACTACCGAAATACATATGGTGCTACGGCTAGACGCGACGACTATTCACTCGGTATTTATCGGAACGAGTACATATGTGAAATCGAAAATACCCAGGCCGAAAGTATAGGCGTTTACACGCCGCGAAATGTCCTTCTTAGCATATTCCCAGAAATATGATCCACTGTAAAGCCATTTGTTGCGGTCGCGACCGTGTTCGTACTGCAGCATCCTGCGCACGCGCGTATTTGCGACAAAGGAAACGCATGAGATAACCGTGACGAATCTGGCCTTATGATTTCCTAACCGTGATACTCACACACCGAGCCAATCAATTACGATCCCGCTGACCCATTCACCGGGTCGTAGCCTGTCGGCGTGTTCCACGTTTATGTCGAGCCAGCCTCCGCCGTAGGGAAAGGGCATAGAAATTGGCTGAAAGGCCAGCTTACCATCTAAACACGGTAGAGCCATGGCTAGGACTTTGATGACCTCAAGATGCGTGTGGCACTAGGGATAATTTGGGGGACGAGCACCGGACTGGAATTTGGGCTTCTGCAGTCACGACACTATGAGTCAAGAGCAGCCGCGAAGGTTGTTACACTAGTCGTCAAATTTCACTAAAGGGTTTCGAGCCAGCCTGGTCCAAACAAGTTTCGCAATCGCATGAGCGATCGAGATTCGCCAAAGCGCCCCCACTTGTCGGGGCTTTGGCAATGGTCAGTGTGGTTTAACGTGCTGACTAGGCAGATACAGCCCCCTTTAACGGCCTTTCGGCCAATCAAACACCTCGCTGACGAGGTGGAACTGTGCTGTTCGGAGCTAGCAATTCCACGCGTCAGGCTATTATGTATGTGCCCTTCTACACGCACTGTGAAAGGGGCATGTTTACTTCGGTTATGGCTGGCATAGGTCCTCTCCTCCATGTTCACACGTTCACGCTCCCTTGTTCTGGGCGTTCCCGTGGTTGTCCCGTATAATGTGATGAACAGTGCTGGAAATCTACGGTCAGTTAGCTAAGGCATAACGATCTTCGCTGCTTGGTTAGGGTTCCGCGCCACACGCATGCCACAAATGTTGCGCGACGCAGCGTGATTGGTCGAAACACAGAGGGCTGTCAAAACCGATTTGTGGGGGAGTTGGCGGAAGTTTGGCAAACCAATCATCGGGCGTCAACCCTTGCAAACAAAAGATATTCTTGAGATTCTAGGTGTGAAGAATGGTCTGGTAGCAATAAAAGAGCAGATATATCGGTAAACTAGTTCAGGCGTTCTAATCCGCCACTTTTAGG